AATTTTAATCTTTTCGCCTAATTAATTAGCAAATTTTGTTTATTAATATATCTTTTATGATAAATTAATCTAAAAATAAAAATATAATAATTACTTAATATTACTAATGACAAAAAATAAAGTTGAAACTAATAAGATAAGTATTAATTAAAAAATGTAGCCAAAAATTAAAAAAATTAAAAAGAATAAATTTGTCAATAAAATTGGTGGATTGATAGGTAACTTTTTGAATCTGCTAGTAGTTTGAATTTTAATTCTTATTCGCTATCCCAAATCATTAAATAAAAAATTTTACCAAACACTTAATTTATAACGGTTTCGAAATAAATAAGTTTGTTAAACACCTATTTTTAGCAGTTTAAACATAACCGCTAATTACTACCTCCAAACCACTATACCAAAGGAGTCCAAAGTTTGGGTATCTTCTTTTCCATAAGAACAATGATTGATATGCACTTGGTTCAATACACTACACAATTCACTTATTAAAAAAATCACTATTTCTTGGTATAAAATTAAATGTAGATAAATTTAAAAATACAATCATTCACACAAAATGCAGAAATTAACTGAATCAATTGTATTTATATTATATTTTTAATGATTAAATCAAAAGTATGCTAGAAAATATGTTAAACCGAGTGTATACTAACCATTTACATTTCCATAATTAAATTATAATGGGATGAGTTGGGTGTTGGGAAGAAGCATATGATTGTACTAGTCCATTAACAAAAAAAATGTTGATAGTTAGTTATGTAAAGATTGTTTCCCAGAACCTTCCAATGATGGAAAAACTCACATGAATCAATAATTCATCCCATGAAAACCCCATTTCTTTATATATCTAATAATGATCATGGAGCTGCAGTCGGCTGCAGCATATGTAAGAAGCTCTTTTCTTTCTTTTTAGTTGATATTAAATGAATTTTCTCTAAATAATTAAGTTGAATTAAGTACTAATTAAGTATTGGTCTTAAAGATAACCCACGCTATGAAAAAATGGTTAAGGAAAGAAATGAATTTCAGCTGCAATTTAAAGGCAAACTTTTTAATATTCTTGAATTGCCAGTCTGCCGCTCCCCACATCCTTGGGATGGCGATCATACATACCATGAAATAATAGTACCTTTTTCTCCTTTTATCCTAAAAAAGAAGCACTTCTTGTTTTTGTTAACGTCCCAAAATTTTACCCTCTGTACTTTTTAGTGTGCATTAGTTTGATTTTTGCATAAAATGTGTCCTATGACAATTGAAAATTATTTTCTTTTTATATGTAATTCTTGTTAAATATTTTTATTTAAAACAATTTTTTTAATTATCATTTGTTTATTATATAAAATTATTAAATTAATTTACATAATGTTTAGGAACTAAGATCGAAAAGTAGTAATAAATTCATTATTTTTTTAAAACAGGATTGTCAATTAATCTTACTCCTAGTAAATACGATTTAAACAAAGAATTTGGCACTTCAAGCAAAGAACATGAATTTCAAAAATAAAAAGCAATGGAAACCACAAAAACATTGCCAAAAAAGCAATGAAATGGGTATTGCATGCATGTACAGTGTGTGTTAGCAAATTTTCCTTTGTATGGAACACATGATGAACTCATAATTAACTCACACATATCATCACCGGCAGTCTTCAACATCGCTAAGTCTAGCCTTTTGAGGGCATGGTGAAGACTGAAAGACAGGTCACATCCTCTAAGAGAAGGAAACATCCCTAACCCTAGCTGTGCCCCTTGCATTGTCAACATCCCTAACCCCATTTTGGTTTGTTTTCTTTCTAACCTCTACCTAGCTTCTATGATACATATTTATCTCTCATCAGCCTCTCTGCCATCTACATCTTCCTTTTAACGTTACCCACAAAAGAAAAACATGGTCTTTTCATCTCTTGGACTTTGGTGGATCTAAATCTAAATCACATAAGGATACAAAGAATGCCTTGGAGTACATAGCCGGCGGCCAGACACATCTTATCTCCTTCATTTAACTAATTATGCGGTCCATACGTTTTGACTAGGTTTAAGTTTCATTTAGGAATGCGCTTTTTGATGCTTTAGCTTTTAATTTTTTTGAATTTTTATTATCTTAAAAATATATAAATACTAATTAAAATAAATATTAAGAAATATATTCTATATTTTTTAACATTAAAAGACATAAAAAATAATAGTTATATATAGTTATAGTCCAACACATCTAAATTAAACCTTAGTTTAAATAGTACGTATATGTATATTTTGTACATACGTAGAAATACTATTTTATTATGGAACTAATGAAATTCTGTTACGAGTAGTCAATTTCATAAATTTAAAAAAATATATTAAAAGCATTTTTTTTAAAAAATGCAGTGATTAAAACTAAATAAATTCAGGGGGAGTTTTTTTTTTTTTTTCTTGGTTAGCCCTTGCATCATACATTTATACATGTACCAATTAGATAAAGTATAGTATATAGAGATCATGACAACCCCAAGAGTTGGATTTAGTAAACACAAGTTTTTTTTTTTTTTTTATGTCCAATTTAAAATTTAAGTCTTAAAATTTGTACTAAAAAAATAATTTTCTATGTATGCACTGTTCAACAAAAATTGATCAGAAACAATCTGACTGTCCAAAAAAAAAAAAAAAATCATGACATGGAGTCAGTCCAAACAGCCTGTTGTGTGATGGTTTCTTTGCCACGAACCGACAAGTGCAATGTATATGGCCATAAGAGAAGGGATTTTAGTTGGGATTTGCTACGTTTCTAATTCCATGTCTTGGAGAGGATTTTTTGTAGTTCTTGCCGCTTCTGTAAGATGTGTTGGGTTAGAAAACTCTTGTACTTTCACCTTAATAAAATTCATTATTTTTCATGATTAACTCAAATCAAGGTTTGGTTAGGGTATTAGAAAGGACTAGAACCTAAGTTGGTTATAAATTAAAATAAAATGTTGATAAATTTAGACACATGATGCACTTTTAAAGTTACTTTCTTGCTTTTGCAATACTCTATGCTCTGGCAGATCAAGGTGAGGAAAATATATTAGATCTTTTAGTTAAAAAAATTTTGCATATATACCTTTGGAGAGAAGACATGTGACATTAATTATTAGCATAATTATAAAATTAAGAATACTATAATACCAATTTTAGTTTATTAATTAGGGTTTGGTCCTACAAATTGCAAATTGCAATATATGGGAATCTCTTCCCACAATAATATTTATTCCAAATGTTGGTGGAACTTGGGACAGTTGGGGCTGACCAGGGAGCAGCCCTTTCCTTGGAATGTCTAGTTAAAAAGTATATTAAGCCCCCTTGAGCTCTCTCATAATTAATTAATTAGTCATAACGTGGTTTTTGTATTTAAAATATTTTCTAATTAATTAATAGTCAAATGATTTTTTTTTTCTTCTTCCCTACTCTCCAGGCCAGGCCCTGCTTTCCAAGTCATTCATGTATCTAATTAAAGAGTGATTACAGAAGGGCTGAAACCAAGGAAGATTTTGAGATCATTTAGTGGCTTACAAGAGGACCCCATACCAAGATTTTCATAGGAGATTATGTCAAAAATAAATGGTTTAATTTAATAAATCACCTATTAACTTCCATATTTTTTTCACTTTTATCTATTATCTTTAAATTCTTTTAATTTTATCTATTATATTTCACATTTATTTCAATTTCATCTAGTCCATTAAAGATAACGGAAATCTTCTTATCTTGTAAAAAAAACATTTAGTACTCTAATTATATTTTTTTTATTTCTTAGTCCTTAAATTTATATTCACCATAAAAATAGTTTTTATTCTTAGCTTACTAAATGTGTTTTTTTAGAAAACTATTTTACAGGACATATTGCATATAGTCCACCCTATAAAATTATTTAAATATCCTTTATTTTATTTTTATATTATTTTTTCAAAAATATTTAAATAATTTTACAAGAAGAACCGTATACGGTCTGTCATATAAAACAGATTTACTTTTGAAACTTCTCATTCTAAACTTACTAAATTTTTCTGTTTGAATTGAGATAATTACTCAAGTTTATTATAAATTCTAACT